GCAAGCAGATCACCAATGAAATATTTCCCAAAACCTATGGGACATAGCTCAAGCAAGTTAAAATACAAATGAGAGGTTTCGTCAGCTTTGGCTTACTTGCCAGTGCCAGTGTATGTAGCTCTGAGCCTCAGGGATATGGCAGCATTTTGAAGAAAGTATGGGAATGAAAAACAAAAATGACATACTTAACCTTTGCCTGAATTTTGTATAGCTTCTATGCCAAGGGAGAATAGTAGAGATTCTAATATACAATAATTATTCATAAACATCGCTTACACTACAAATTCAGCTGTATTTTGTAAGAATCTTTTCCTTAAAATGAATAGCAGTAAGGAGAGAATTCTTCCACATTTTTCTTTTTTAGGCAATTACATATTAAAATTCTTCATCAGGCTCTGTGATGGTGAAGGTTAATGTGGCCTTTATAATTTGAGATGAAACTGACCGTGTCCTTCACTTTTTCTGCACTTTCACCATCCCTCCACAGTGTGAAAACACAGCAGTCTTCACCACTACAGGCAACATTTAAAGATAGAGGTATCCAACCCAGTAGACCAGGTTAAACAGCAGGAAGGATGTAGGAAAAAAGACCCTAGAGTAAGAGTCCAGTTCTAAGATGTCTATGTGAATTCGTCCTCTCCTCCATGAGCCTGATTTACACTCTTCATAACAACAGAAAAAGCTCTGGCAGTCTTTCCCATCCAGACATTCATAGACGCATGCATCTTCAAATTCTTGCCAGTACATGGCATTGTTCAATGTGATGACTGTAGTTGGTGGTCTCATATCAAGTACAGAATAATTCTGAGGAGAGAAAAAGAAAGTTTGATAAGCTTCCATGGATGATGCAGATCACAATTAATAAACATGGGAAAAAATCACAGGAGTTGAGAATAAGAGGTGATACTATAGGAATTCTAGATTTAGGGAGCATCTTTCTTTCCCTCAAAAGATGCCTTTTTGATGAATTTCCATGGAGACATTGTGGAGTGGCAAGTTAAATAATTCTAGGTGTATTTTCTACTTGGGTAACTCAAGCATATATTTCCTAGTAAACATCTTTTCACACTTAGGAGTTCACTTACCTGTCGGAATATTATTTGCAAGTTGCTTTTAACACTTGCGGCTACTACATTTAAGAATGGCTTCTGCAGCATAAGGAAGATGCCCCCCCTCCCCATTTAATTACAGAACAATCTCCGCTCAGTATAGCTGCATTCACTGCCTCTTAACGTTACTATGATTTATAAAAATTTATATGGTCAGCAACAGATAGTGAAGATTTCAGTACGGGATTTCAAAATATCATCCCTAGGCACGTGCCCTGAGTGCTTATCACACTAACCAGGCTCAGAAATAGGGCACTTCTTTGATATCACCCATCCTCACAGTACGACTCGTGCCTACAGACCTCTCCTCCTTCAGTGTAGTCCCTGTTTACACTTTGTCAGCTTTTCTGTCACACCATTTCCTTTTCATGAAAGATGCTTTCTCACAATAGTCTCCTCTCTCATCAAGCCACCCGTTCCATCCTCACAATGTCACCTCCTCCACTGGCATCACTAGGAAAGGTCTCATCATCTTTGCTGCCTGTCTGCACTAGAGCCCTGTCAGCGTGGTTTTCTTCACCTCGGGGGCCTTTCCTCTCCCTGTGATTGCGCCGAGCGTTGCCTTTTCCTGCAGGAGCATGCCAGGTATGTACTACCAAGCTAGCCATGCCTCTGCATCATGACTGCTTGCATTCTGGAGGGTGCTCTGGGCCCCTGCTTCCACACTTGCTATACAAAATACACAACATTTCCTGTTTAAGGTGTTGAGGTGTATCTGAAAACTTTTGCTCTGTTTGTGAAACAGATCAGTGATATGACTGATGCGCCTCGGGAAAATTTCCTTTTTCTATTGACTTTGTTTTCTTTCTACAAATCCTTTGGTGTGACACACCATAGCATTACCCATCTCATTAAAAATGCTAAGCTGAGCTGAGAACTTGATGTGACATCCCTCTGCTTAGATGTTGGCGTCTCCAACAGAGAGAACTACATCTGAACAACTGCCTTATGGTATCCAGCCAATTACTTCTAGGACAGAATTCATCTCATCATAAGTAGGTGGCTAAAATCTCTCAGGTGCATTGTGCTGTGGACTGTAAACAGATTCCAGTTTAGGAGCAGATAATTGCAAATCTATTTGTTGTGAATGACTTTATCTCTGAGATTAGACGACACAAATTATGCCCTCATGGTCTTCTCTCTCATTTCTAACATTTCAGGTAGCTGGTATCAGACCGTTACAATGTGCTGCCACATAGAAAAGGTCTAAGATTATTTTTTTACTTTGGAGAGAAAAAAAGCTATGACTAAAGTATACATGGAATTCTGCTATACCACTGTGTCACACATTGTTCATTTCTTGCAGGCCTTTATGAAAAATTCCTACACAGGGACTGAAATTTTCTATGTCTGGCTACAATATTTATATCAAAAAGATATAAATATCTTTTTATATTTATATAACTGTGTTAAACTTGTGTGCCTAAATTATTCCCGAAAGCTTTCTAAAGGTTTTGCAGATATGCATAAATTAATTATTTTCTATGAAACTCAGTTGAAACTCCATATAAGTTTATGACACAACTTGTGCTTATTACTTTTTTATAAAATGTAATGAGAAACTGCAGTATTATATAAAGCAGGCACACAAAATTTCTGAGGTAAAAACAACACACAATACTCTACACTTGACTCATCTCCTTCCCAAATAATTTGGTAAGTCTGTATAGAAAGAGGCAGCTATGTTCCTCTGCTGCAGCCAAAACCAAACTGACCTTTTAACAAAAAATCAAATCACTATTTATAGTGAAGTTACGTTAAAGCATACCAGAGCATTAGAGCTTTCTGAGGAATTGTTGCAAGTAAATGTCAACCATACATTCATGCCTCCATTGCTCTCACTGAATAAAATATAGTTTACTTACCATCACATGACCAAAGCTGACATCAGGTAGCTTAAATAAAGATAACAAAAGAATATTCAGAAGAAATACTTATTGCTTTATATGCATCTAATGTTCAATAGTATTTCTTAAACCAAACCTTTAAATGCATTTCTCCATAAAACACTTCATGCTGAGTATTGTATATATTCAGCATAATATTCTTTACACTTTAAAAGTGCATGAAACCTCAGCAGAATGCACATCTAGTTTCCATCCACTTTAAACCTTTATTCAACCCATTACATTTACTTATTTAGCAAACAATAGCTAAGTGAGCATTTGTTCTTGTGTTAACTTAAATCTCATCAATGTTGCATGCTTTCCCTCATCTTTATTCACATGTCTGGAAATAGATCCTACTCACAAAGATACTCATGCCATTTTCATTCAGTCTTTCTATAGGATGTCAATTTTTGTTTCATCATTAGCAAGTTCTTTTTGTTTGTCTCCTACATTTCTTTTGGTAACACTCTTTTGCCTTTTGTGCGCAATGCATTTTTACAAGAAGCTATTAGGGTTTTAATGGAGTTTTCATTGACTACGTCTATGGCTTTCTAGGTGTTCTCTAATTCCATATTCATTTCACCTTTTTCTTCATTATTTCTTCATTCAATCATTTTCTATAGCTCTTCATTCAATCCCTTTTTACCTCATGACCTATCATTCCCTGAATTTAGCCTTCTCGCTTCAATTTCCTCCTTCACATTTTTCTATTTGACTTTGTATTTCTGATTTCAAATGTCCTTATTTCCTCCATGACGCAAAATGGCATCTAACAGCTCCAATTACTGGCCTCAAACACAAGATTTTCCACTGATCTTGAGTGGACAGCCCACCTTCCCTTCCCTATGTTTACACTGAGGTTTTTTTCTCCATTATACTGTCCCCTCTCATTCTCATAGTTAATTATGAAGTACACCAGGCAATTCTTCCTGTATGATTGTTTTAATTGATTCTAAATAAAGAGCTTTTGTGTGTGTCTGGGTGTTACTCTTGGAAGTGTCTTTTTGGCCAAAAATGCAGCCATGTATAAAACCTTTGGAAGCAACTTCCTCTGTTTTTCTACTGAGGAAGAAGCCCCTTTGTGTGTGGGGCCACAACCAAGTGCTGGTTCCCAGTAGAGATGTTGAAATCCCATTTCTAAAGTTCATAAATATTTCTAGACCTGTTAAGCCATGAAGTAGCAGATGTATTTGAATATACATTGATGTGCATATATTTGTATAACAAGCTATGCAATCTGTTTCAGTGGGAGCCCTTTATGACTACCAGCACCGTAACTGGAGGACAAAAGACGCATAGGCAGGGTGCTTCTGTTAGGAACAGACCTCACCCAACAGGCTGCTTCTGCTTCTCACTCCTCACTTCAACTGCTTCTACTATTACTGCGGGTAACTATTCTCCATCAGCTTTCAGGGCAGATCACACCACGAACTGGGAAGAGATGGGAGGAGCAGAGTATCATGGGATTACAGGCTTTTATTGAATGATTCTCTGCTCTCTGGGCCACGCACGTGCTAGAAAAGAAATTTAAATGCTCCCATCTTACCGACTTTTTCTTCTTAGTACAGTTTGGTTTCCTGCAACTCGAGTAGTAGTTGAGGGTTGCATACTCCATCAGAGCAGCAAAGACAAATAGAAAGCATACAGTCACAAACAAATCCATAGCGGTGACGTAGGAGACGCGGGGTAATGACTTTCTCGCAATGGTACTCAGAGTTGTCATGGTCAATACTGTGGTGATGCCTGCAGAAAGAAACTCAATTTAATTTCTCCATGTCTTAGAAGAATCTTTGGAAACAAACATACAAAACAGAAATCCAAACTGTACCCAAATAAATCATTAATTTCATTTGGTAGTATAAAAAAAAAAGAAAAATAACATCAGTAGAGCCAGTGGTATGTTGTAAACAAAGATTTCCTCAGCTGTTTATATTCATCTTTGCAAAAATGACATTCCCATGCATCTCAATAAGCTTTTCCTCATCTCTTCCTTTTTCTGGTCCCAGTTAGGTTGGAGATGGAAATGAGGGAGAAGGAGAGAATGAAGAAATTTTTGAAGAAAAGTACAAAGCAGAAAAGATATACTAAATGCAGAAAAATAAAAAATAAGAAACCAAGAAAACAATGAAGGAAACATGGTCTTTTTCACAGCAGTAGTGCTCTCATGAAAAATCTTGTGCTCAAAAAAGAAAAAAGGGAGGGGAGGGGGGAAAGAAATTTTGCTGCCAAGTTCTGACCATGAATTTTGAAAATATGTTTTCACACTGCTGCTTTCTTGGGAGTCCTCCACTGCTATTTTCCTTGTGAGTAACGGAAAACAGACTCTCATACAAACTTCAGATATAACCTTAATGGAAGAGCCTTTTTAATTCATACAAAGCATCATATCTTAGATTGATTTAGTAGTAATGAATATAATGGGAATTACTTAGTGTGAAATATCCTGAAACAATAAAACCAGTCCTAGAACGAAATCTGTGGGGTGTCAGTTATTTGGCTGCTGGTAATTCATATAATTTCTCTTCATTCCTGAGGAATAGAAGTCTTTTCATTCCCACTTTGGACTGATGCTTTTAATCATTTGTTATGAACTGCAAGCCTTCTGAAAGGAAAAATAAAACTCCTCAGTGGCTTGGGAAGAAAAATAAAGCTCTCACTCAAATAAGCCTCAAGAGAGAACCTGCTCTAAAAACAACATAACCATAAGGTAATCTTTCTTTTTATAGTTAAAGTGATATTTTGCAATGGTACACAGTGTTTGAAATGGCAGGGGATGACTGAAATTATGCCTCATAGTAAAATTACTTCCCACAAATGGCACTCCGGAGAGAAAGAAGTATCTGTACATTACTTTTGACTACTTTCAGTTATGAAGGAATGCCCACCTCTGATTTGCAGCATTTGATAAAAACTACAGTGATTCACAAGAATAACCCTCCCCATTCAAACCATGAGAAAGTCCCGAGAAGAGCCAGAAGGCAGATTATTGCCTGAGCCTCAACGTTTTTCTACAATGAATAATAACTAATTCTATTCTTTAAATATCCACTACCCAGAAACAAAAACAAAAAAAGGAAAAAAAAAAAGTTGCTGAAAAAACGCAACCCAATAATCAAGATGAAAGCAATGCTGATAGGAAGTGGGAAACGTGGACTTTGTATATACCTTGGACATCTAAAAGCTATTGGGAAAATATTTCTGTTTCCTGTCAACTGTGCCACATCCCAATATAAGCACATGTGGCTGACATGATCCAGTAACCTCTCCAGACCCTTCAACAACAGTTCTGCAGCTAGCTGATGCTTTGGAAAAGCTCCAGAGACAAACCCGATGCTTAGTAGTCAACTGCAGAGATGTCCAACTGCAAAAGGTGTTGACTCACTAGCCTTGATTTGGGCCTTACTAACTATAGGTTAATTAGTCTTTCTGTATGATTGTGACTCAGGCCTTGGGAGTCACTAACTTCAGAAGAACTGCATCCAATGACATATGCTACAATATGAAATGAAGTTTTTTAACACTTTCTAGCCCACATTTAGATTTCTAACACAAATCTGTCCTTTTCAGAGCCACATGTACATGTACCTGCTCTCAGGTATTTTACTACCTCTAAAAAAACTTCTCAAAACCTGTAGTCTTCTTCCAGCACAACATACAGTGTCCTTTTTACCTGGACTCAAGGGCAAATTTTCATTTCCCACTAACCCTGTGATAGGATCTCAGATTACTTTAGGACACTTTTTTTATTAAAAGGTAAAAAAGAAATGAAAGGAGAAAGAAGCTTGCAAGGCTCAAAAACATTTTTTGCAAAGGTCTGCAGTTTTTCTACTGAATGCTGTATTGACAATGTATTAATTTTCCTCTATTTTTACTGAAATAGATGTATAACTTTGTATTCTTTGTGACAAGAAGTATTGTGCGGGTATCTGTAATGACAACCAGCTGTCAATGTGATTATGGACAGGAAGGCAGAGAAGTGAAAGAAAAATTACCATTAGCGTCTGTACTTAAGTATAGAAGTCCCCAACCTAGCCTGAGTCCTATATCCATGCCTTAAGCCTGAATGTGAAATGCCTGCCTAAATCACGCTTGAGACTGTGAAAACCTCAGTGAGAACTAAGCAAAACCAGCCCAGTAAATCATGTTGCAAATGCCTCGCTGATACAGAATCTGGGAGTTTTGTGTAGCTCCGGACTAATTTTAGCTGACTGAAATAAACGAGGTTCTACAAAATTTATAGACACAGCAATGGTGTAAGATTTATTTTGGTAAGATATTTGTAAGATATTAATAGTGTCTCTCCTCAGTCCCTTTGACAACAAATCACATTTTGCTACCAGAATATAAAAACTTGGGGGAAGGAGAGTTTAGCATTATCACAAGCCATCATAGTTTCTGGATTATATGTCGTATTTCAAATTATGGTGAAGGCATGAGACAAGATTGCTGAGCACATAGATGGAAACATACAAAGGTAAAACAAACATACTTTTACTTCTATTATTAATGTAAGATATTTTTATGATATGAAATCTGATAGAAAAGCATCATTCTTCATTTAAGCTGAGGCTTGAACTTGGATCCCAACTCACACCATAAAAAAGTAAGGAGTGTCTGAAATAATAAAAATTCTACCCAGTGTGTCAATTTTACATTTGACACATAGGCAAAAGTTTTAGAATATTAAAATGATCTTATGGGGATACATACAGAGAGCAAAGAGAAAGAAGGTGCACCAGATGATAGTTTTGTATTCCTGTACGTTTACAAGTTGGGATATACAGATATGCATATATGAATGCAGCTCCCATTATTTCCAAAGACAATATCTAGATTCCATACCCTTAGCTCCTTTTATCTCTCATGCTAAGAAAATTCAGTGTGTTGAGTGGTTTCAAATGCAATAAACCTTGCCAGATTAAATTGTTAAGTCTCTCGCTTTGGGGAGGCCCGTATGGTAAGTAAGTGAGGTTTGCATCTGTTATTGAAATTCACAGTGCTCTCAAACTGTCTGTTTCAACAGAATTTTAGTATCAGTCAAGGCTAGTTTTGAAGTATCCCGGCTTCAAAATTTTCAGGTAGACAAGTGTAAGTGGGAGCTTACAAGTTTGTGTATAAATACTTTTGTGGCATTTATATTGTCTGAGCAAATTCCATACCAAAGATGCTGTTTGTTAAATCAAAAAGGACTGTCTGGGAGATCAAATGATGCAGGGATACATAATACATGAGAACATTTTAACCTTTACATCATTGGTCTCAACAGTTATTTAAAATTATTACTGTTTGAAAGCTCCTTACTGGACAACAGTATGCAAAGTGAGGTAGCAGGAGCTTCAGTGTTAGAAACTCTTTGGTCAGCAAGGCTCGTTTTTTCTTATTTTCATAAGGATATGTTGATTGGACACTGTGGGAAAGGTGTACTGCTTTTAACGATGCTCATACTTGTTTATAAACTTAATTTCACCACCTTTTGCTTGTTTTTCTAGTGAATGAGCTTAAGATGGAATGACAAGGACAGCAATGTTTGGTTTTTATTAAACATCATATGTATCTTCTTTTACAACAACACATTGCTGGCTTTGATATCTGCTGTATTTTTTTAAACTGCAGTTTGAAGTTGCTCTGTAGTAACTGCCTAGCCCTACTACATATTATACCCATTTTGAAGAAGCAGGGGGAAAGTGGGATGAAATCTTCAGATTAACTTAATTCTCTTCATCTTCAAGGAAAACAACCTATACTTTTCCAGATCATAACTTCTCTTCAGACACTTGTTGGCTGCTCTTGACTGTGAACATCGGGAGAAGAACATTTTGATTACTAGAGACAAGCAGAAACAGCAGAGAGCCTTTTTTTTTCCTCTCTGAATGGAGGGCAGAGTAACCTGGGATCACAAAACACAGTTCTCATCCAACACTCAAATTCTATTTCCAGCTTCCCACTGACTCTTCAGGTGGCCTGGAGTGAGTCACGTTGCCACTCAGGGCCTCAGTCCCTCAAAGTGCATCTGAAAAAGGGACTATGATGCCAAGTTTTTGAAGAGGACTTTGATGCCTCTGGACAATGCTGTTGAAAGGATACTTATGGTCCTGTTTTCTCCCTCACAAAGACCCCAATTGCATTCTCTAGCACAGAAATAGCTTATTACTTATCGTTATTCAGAAAGGGGTAAAACCTGTCCTTCATGTAAACTGTGAGTAGTTGCCAATAGCTTAGGAAATTATTCATTTCACAGAGTGAAATATTTCCCTGATGCTAGCGCTTTACATTAATGCAGCTATACCTGGAGCAGGTTTGGTGCACTGAGTCTACAATTCATTGCAACTAATTAGTAGGACAATTTCAGCGGTTTGGCTTTGGCTGTATTACTCACAATTTCACCAGGTACCACTATCCAGATGTGGATGTGTGCTGTTGCTCAGACAGATTTATAAGTTGCGTTATAAAAGTAGTGTCCCCAGTAAACAGGGAACATCTGCTTACTTCATCCCACGAGTCAGCAGGCCATTGCCAATTTGGGAGCAACAGGACTCTGCACAAAAAGAGGTGACCCATGTATGTATTATTTTCTTGTAATTTGAATTTATTTATAAAAAAGTTATATTTTAGTCCAGTAATGTAATTCTTCATTATAGTTTTAGGAGTTAGTCATGATAGTGATTCAATATAGCCTTGGAATATCTCATTTTTGTGTTCTTACTTCAAATTCATGACCGTAGTATATGAATACATTTTTTGTCTGAAGCTCCTGCTGGCTTATGGGTTGAGGTAGGGAGAGTCACACTGCAATGACTAGTGATCTAACCTACTTCCATGTCTAATTAATTGGAAAATGGAGCTGTGTGGTGTGGGGAACTGCCCTCAGGGAAAGGGTATGAACGCTGTTTCTGGAAAATTAGTAATGCAAACTGTTAGATGCATTTTCTCCCTTTTCTCTTAAGCACTGTGAAGGATGGTCAATCTTTCCTTATCTCCACTGAGTCACCCAATTTAAGAAGAAAGGAGTTCAGCAGAGAAGAACGCTGAAGGCCTATTGCTTGATTTTTCTGGCCACCAAAGGAAAGTGTACGCAGCCAGGAACAGGCAGTCGTAAAGCTGCTCTGTCCTCACCTTTGTGTCATCTTAATGCTGTCCTGGAGGTGCAGGGGGTCACAGAATAACTGTAAGTCTTAGGGTCCGTCATGTTGCTGGAGCTGCAGTATAAAGGTCCCCTGGCACTCACATGAAGGGAGTGAGGACTGAATATTCCTTGCTTGGAAAATAACCTCAGAAAACTGGACTCACGTGATGCCACATGACTTATAATGGTCAGAAGTGCTATGTTTGTATTTTACAAACTCCTGGGGCAAATGCAGCTCGTTATGGTTTTATGCTGACCTCACACAAAATGGGTTTTAATACAGAATTATCTGTAAAGTGTGAACCAATGCTGGCTGCTTGCAGTAGTCTTACTACAGGTTCTCTGGGACTTTTCTTTCTACTGGTCCTGTTGTGTAGCTCCATCTCACTGAGCTGTTCTTGGTTTGAAAGGATGCGCCTCACCACTCACTAAGAATTAAAGCTTTCCCCTAGGAAGATGCCTATAGGAATGGCTGGCATATAGCTTCATTGCTTAAATAAAGCTGTGGCTAATGAGGGATTTATGCTTAGAGGATATTTTTGGTAATGTGTTTCTTCTATCATTCAACTGAAAGTTACTCAGCTATTGAAGCATTAGAAGTTTTGGGAGCAAAAATGTTTGTACCCTGGGCCTTGTGCACCCTGAATAGATGACTGTAATTTTTTTGCATGAGTGAAGGATTTAGAAAGCAGGATCAGACTTCTGGACAGGTTCAAGAGACATAGCAGCTAAAATCTTATTCAGAGTCAATGGACTTCAAAGTCTCTTTAGCACTTCATTTTTGTTTTCCCCTTCAGGGCCTTTGTGCTAGAAACCACAGCACCCTTAAAATTGGTGGTTGCTCAGATTTATTAGTGCAGGAGAGAGACAGACTGAAACAGGACAAATGATTTTGAACAACTGTATAAAGGCTGCATTGTCAAACAAGGTGTCTTCCTCCTGAGATCAAGTAGAGCACCTCTACATGGCGTTTGAAAGGGAGCTAACAGAAGTTGATTCAATTATAAGTAACCACTATTTCTGATAAATGCTTAGTTACTTGGATGAAAAAGGATGAGGAGTACTGAGTACCCTTGATCAGCTGTATCGGGGAGTGGCAGACAGAGGTGGTTTGTAGAGATTGCCTCTACTGTGGTTGAACAAAGGCTTGTCGGCACACAGCAGCACTCGAGAACACCGTGCCTGCTCCAGGCTGCCTTCAAGTGTCCTCCAAGGAGGTGCAGCCTGTTCACAACCCTTGTCCTCCAGTCTTTCGTTGCAGCAGTATCACGCTCTCAAACCTGGGGACTCAGTTGCTCCTACAAATGCTTCCTATCTGATTTCAGTCCAAAAAGTCAGGCAGGTCAGTTTTTAATAATTTATTATTTTTTTAAATTGAAATGATTTAGAGAGTCCAGCTGTTTAACTGGAGATGGTAACAAACTCCAGCAGGAGGAAGCAATGAATAGTTGGGAAGGGTAATGTCCATGCTTGAAAACAGACATGTAAACCTTGACACAACCTCCCCTTTTTTACTAGACTGGTAGATTTCTTAATCAGTTAGTATTGACAGGCCTGGCAACCACAGTCTGGACCAAAATGTTGTTTTTCCTTCTGTTCTGATGTACACCTATAATTGCCTAGTATATAGCCCTATGCCCTTGATGCTAGCAAAACCTGCAGGTTTTCCTATAGACATAAGAATAAATGGTCAGCATTTCTAAGTGTGTCCTAAAGCACAATGCCAAAATGCACGTGCTGGTCCTGACATAAATGAGCTGCTGGAAAACCTATACCAGCACAAATCTCCACAATCTCTGAAAAACATCTATACACCTAATGTGCAGCTTAACTTCAAGCATGCAAGCTATAACATTTTGCATGAATTAATATTATTATATCCCACAGTTTTCTGTATATATAAGACATAATGCCCTGTGGGGGAGAGTTTCAGAAGGGAAGGAAGCCAGCCGTGCAATTAATTTATTCTTCAAAAATGTCACTAAAATATCATACTGAGAACAAGAAGATAGACATTAATTCTAGAATATTATGCAAAATAGGCGGCAGTGTCATTCCAAAGGGTCAGGGTAATTACCCTGCTAAAGGCAGAAAACCAGGGGCTTCAGTGATAGTAGATCTAGGTCTGCAAGATGTGGTAGCATTAATCCAAAGCATGTAGCTAGTGGTCCCTCTGAAAGGAAGCTGACATTTTCAAATGATAGTGTAGAAACTACACAAAGAGAGCAGAAAGGGGAATTATTAACAACTTACCTAATGCTGTTCTTGCTGGTGTGGCATCTTTTTTAATCCAAAAGGATACCCAGGAAAGAACAACTGTTAATATACAGGGAATGTATGTTTGAATAGTAAAGTATCCCATTCTTCTACTTAAGTCGAAGTATATAGTCATGACTACATAATCACCTGCAATAATAGCACAGAAAATAAATTGACATTGTGGTGAGATACAGACAGTTGTTCATTGAGCTGCTAATTTTTTAAGCTTCATAAAAGCACTGCATATGAAATATTTCTCAGCATTTCAAGAGCATCTGTGCAGCAATGCTCAGGTCAAATAGAATTCAAATAAACTTTTCAATTCTAATTCCTTTACTTTTAGGTCTCTGTGGAAATGTCGGCCTATTTGGAAAGGCAGAGGCTCTCAGTAATCATTCTGGATGAGTAAATTTTTGAAAGGCATCTGGGCTTTCCAGACTTGATATTTCTAAATGGCTCCATGACCACAAACATGAAGCTACTATCATTCACCAGATTTTGTAACCAAGCCACACAAAATCCCTCCTTCTGCAAGCTGTATCTTCCCTGCCCTAATTTCAAGTTTGAGTGACTTCTGTTATCTTCTTTGGAGATATGACAGGCACTAGGGGTCTTTATGGCAAGTGTGACATGCACATGAGTATGCCTTTACATAAGAAGTCATTTATAGACACCAGAGCCTCAATGCTGGCAAGAGAGGTCAAACTGCATACTTTTAAAGGACTCATCATTGAAAGTCAAGTCTCTTTTGGTCAGCATTCCTCCATTTCAAAGCAGTTGTGGTCACTTGTAGTGTCTGTAAACCTTCAGAAGGCGAGCCTGGATATAAAGTTTATCATTCCGCTCTGATTCATAAAATCAAGAGCTCAGTAAGAAGCATAGTTTATCTCACATTATAGAATTGTCTTCACAGTATCTCTTCTGATAACCCTTGTGACTCCACAGGGGATAATAATCTGTCCCTCTCTCTCTACCTAGTAGAAGCTATTGACCTTATCACCTCTCTCCTTACTAACAGCTCCCTCAGCTTCATAGATGTTAACTATCCTTTCCTCTCAGACAGTCACAGTGATTAACAATAATGAAACTGAACTGAGAACAGTTTCTGTACTTCGCTTGAAGTGTGTTGCTTCCATTTCAGATGTGCAAGAGTTTATATGCCTGAGAACTTTTATTGGGTTTTGTCTGACTATGTCAGACTTGACCGAATAAATTATATTGTTTTTTGTTACAAACCTTGACTTTCTAGAATACAATATTTAGAGAAGGCATCATTTGCAATAGGTAGGTAAGTCTGTCCTGTTACAGTAAACCAACAGAAGACTCAAGAAATTGGTAGCACAGAGGCATTAATCCCCAAAGGAATGTACATACAACTCACCCAAGCAGAGGCACAATGGGTTCATTAGGAGTTGAGACAAATTAAAGCTTAATCTTCTAGTAACAGAGAGCATATGAACAAAAGCATTTAATAGAGTGGATATATTGACTATAGCTGAAAATATAGAAAAGCAAGTAATTCAGTAAAATTGACTTCCACCCAAAGAATCTCCGAAGGCCACTGTAAAATGAGTGAGCTACTATAAGCTACAAAGTAAAAGGAAAATAAAAATCTGAGGGTGGGATTTGGGGAGAGAAACTTAGAACAATGAGTCAAAAAGAAGTGTTTCTATTTGTTAAGTGCATTGTTTAGAGATAAATATATTTGGAAGACGTTGATAAGCCTGTGGGTGCTTTCACTGTGCCTCTGTTAGATGAACATGCACATTTTCATGAGTACTGTGGCAGTAAAAAAGTGTGTGACCCCAAGAAGGTGGACAGTCATTTCAGAAGCCTTGTGTATGTGGCACAGTGACAGAGCTTTAATGAAGGAGCTTGCTGCTGTTACAAGTAGTAAGTATTGCAGTCCATCATGACACAGCAAGCCTTGTGAGCTGTTCACAGCCTAAGGGTTATTTTCATTCCACTAAGCTCCAGCACTTTCATCTGTGCAGGGAATGGCATCAGGGAACTGATGCAGATTAGTAATCACTGGTTCTGCTGGCTTATTTTTAGACTACATCAACTCCCTAATCTGGTTTGCATCACCAAAGAAAGATTTACATGACAACAACTGAGTTAATTTCACAGAAATGGGAGTAAGGAGTCAGAGGCTTTGTAAACCAGTGCTTCTACTAACAGGAAACAAACCAGGAACCATGGGAAAAAAATGATGATAAAGTTTCAAACATTGTCTGTCAGGGCAGAAGGATGAGGAAAAAGAAGGAAATCAAAGACGCTGTAGGAAATGTGCCATGCCTTTGTATTTCACTTAGTCAGATACTGTATCTAGAACTGCACACCTATGGATAAGCTGTGTGAGAATGGTCTAAAGCAAAGGAATCTGTAGACTTCTCATTGTGCACGACGATATATGATACACACCATTCAAGTACACACACAGGACACTGCTCTTCTGAATAGTATCATTGTGCTACCCAGCACAGCAAACGGGAGTGGGGCTAGATACTGGATAGAAAGATACTGGCTAGTAAGGCAGAGTCCTTGCTTCCAAGATCTCCTACTGAAATAAACCTGATAAACTGAGAGCGGGATAATATTATGGAGCATTTCAGCTGTTTTGCAGACAGGAACTGAGGCAGAGATTAAATGATGTAAAGAGTCTATCATCCCATTTAGTCACAAACTGATTCAGTATCTTTCAGGCAGTATTCATTTCACCTGATTTTAGATATCTAGAAGGTAGATGGTACAGATGACCTGCATACTGTGGCCTCCTTTCTATATTTAATGAAGAGAAATTGGTACTTTTAGTATATGGTTTGTCTAATCTGTTTTAGAGGTTCACTTTAGAAGGAGATGAATGTGCCCAGACATTCCCATTTCTCTCCAGTGATTAAAAAAAGGAGAACAGTTGCCTCAGATGTGGAAAAAAACATTGTAGACACTTGCAGATGATCCAAGGAGTCAATCACACCCCTTGATTCCATGGTGAAAGCTAAATCAGGCTAATTCTGTGAGGGTGCTAAGGTTATTTTACCTAAATATAATAACCTTCTTAATTTTTTAAAGATTATTTTAGTTATTTTCCTCCTTTGTTTCATGGTTAAACTTGATGCTTTCATTCTTGAGGACATGCAAAACTCCTCTGCTTCCTTGCTTGCTTGCTTGCTTCCTTCCTTCCCCTGCTCTTTATTACAACAGAACTATTCAACTTGTCTTTATCCAAATTAAAAACCTGTCAAGATACTCCTTCTCTGCAGTAAGTTAAAAAGGAACTGTGACTCAGTCAAATTTTACAAGGAGCTTCAAATTTCCAAGTATCCAGCAAAGACCCATAGATGTCTAGCAAGCATCCAATGAAAATTAAATCCTAGGATAATGATTGGCTGCATTCATTTATCCACTAACCTGTTTTCTCTTCTGAAATCCATACAAAAATTCTCACAATGAAGAAGGCAGACCTAGTCATACAGGCAGCAGCTATGCATACAGACTTACATACTGTACCTTCTGTGCTATACTCCAACTTACAGGAACACGCTGACAGATTACATACCAAGAGGTTGGGAGAACAATTTTGTTCAGTGGAATTACTGATGCAAAGTGGAAGTAAGAGGAGAATTTGCGAGTTCTCCTACAATACTCAACCCATGCCTAGAGAGGACACAGCTTAGAGACGATGAATGCTGATGACAGTGCTTAGTGAATTGCCACTGCTGAAATGCAGAGCCTCAACTGGAAGCACCAATGTTGTTACTGCTGTCAAAGACAAGTATGTTTCTGTACAGCATGTACTGGAGGCATTTTTTTTAATAGCTCAGTAAATTACAATTTTCAACTAAATTACTACTTCATTTCTATCGTCAGCCAAGTCAACTTCTGTTGAGACTCCTACATTGTCTCTTTGCATACAGGAGAGCCACCATGTATGTACTGTGGCTACTTTCCTCAATGCACTACTCCAAACTGCATTATTATTATTCTCTAAATTACTCCTTTCAAAAATAATTATTCTCCATGTATCTAAAAGCACTTGTCTACATCTTAAAGGAAAGTAACCATGGTACATAGATTTCTGACTTTCTCTACACACACAAAATAACTTGTACAAAGAAACTCTCCTCTCTTCTAAAAAACCTGACCTACAATTCATTCTGTATGTCCAGCAGGCATGAGCAACTCAAAGGGGAGAAAAAAGCTTTCAAGCACTCTGCACAGTGCCTCCTCGCTCCTTCAACAGCCTGCAGAGCTCCACCTGCCATTACTGCCACTGCTAGAAGAGGAGCTGGGGCTGATTGTGCGACAGAGCCCCACAGCGCAGACAAGATGGGAAAAACCTCCTTCCAAAGTGCATATCATTAAATCAGTGTACTTGGTTTGAAAGTAATCACATGGTGATTGCCTAGCTAGGGAGCACTGGAATAGCTAATACCAAAAATTTCACTTTGAAACTCAGAGAGGAATTCTACTTTTTAACAGCTTAAATAATTTCCCAGGAAGGCAAACGAACTTTTAACTGAACCCTCACACCATCAATTCTCTGAAATAATGAAAATTACCTTGAGTCAAAATAGTGCCTGACCAGTTTTCTATAAATGAGAACAAGAGATGCATCCGGAGTTAGCAAATGTGGAGTAATAAGGAAGAGTGTAGCAATGCTTCCCATGAAACCAAGATGACTGCTGCCTGTGACCCATAGGACTTAGAATAGTTTAACTTTTCAATTTGAAAGTAGGGCACTATTTAGAACAATAATGATTTTTAAAGGAATAACTGCTGTGGATTTTAATGAACAATGCTAAACTATAGCCTATTTCATTTGTCTATTGAAGACTAAGGGCATGGTTGACTGAATTGCCGGAATTTTGCTTACACCGCAGCAAGAACAATTCCCTTAAAGGTGAAATGTTTGAGCAGAAAGCAATTGGTTATTTTAAGAAAATCTTTTAAAAATACAAAATTATATACAGTAAATCATTTATTTACTCAAACCACACTATACTATCTTATCACGCATTTTCATTTATCCTCCAATTTTAGTCTTAGGTTAACAAGTACTACAATCCCAATTATCTTAGAAAAAAGTTAAAGACAGAATGACTTTACAAAGACTGCAATATGAAACTACAATGCATACACAGAGC